AGGAAAGACTGTCAAGAGTCTTGCTGTAAAAAATAGTTAATAGAATATAGGGAATTAGGGACCAGATTGGATAACAAAACATGACTTAGCCTGAGAGTTGTGGCTTTGAGGCCTTGGTGAGACAGAGATGGTGGTAGATAGAAGATGAGATGACCTTTCAGAATGTGTAGGGTCAGGGGAGTTTGGAGTAGGAGGGCACCGCTTAGCTTGAGTGTTGTGGAACCAGGATGGCAGTCCAGTGATCTTGACCACTGTTGAAGTTCTGAGGAAGACCGGGTAGGGGCTGCTCCACCTTGGTTGTAGTCCTTGGGATGATTTTCTGTAACAGGACTTTAGTAACTGCATCAACAGTCTCCCTGGTTGTGGGAAAGGTTTTTATCCATCCTGAAAAAGTACAAACAAAGATGAGAAGATACTTGAGAGTTTTATGGCAGGGCATGTATGTAAAATCTACCTGCCAGTCCTGACCAGGGTTGTGTCTGTGAAATTGATGAATAGGAAAGGAAGGGGTGTTATGTGTCCCTGAGGAGAGGTTTTACTACAGAGATGACAGGAGTAAGTTGTTGAGACCTCAGAGTGTCTGGATCAGTCTACATAAACACAAAGGAATAAATAGGCATTTTTAATGCCTATGACTATAAAGTGAGTGGTGGAGGGAAAGATATGAGAGAGCATGGTATAATGGTTTGGCACCACTGGGTGGATTGGGGTAACGGCACTATTGATTACCGTAAGGTCCTGCACTACACAGTAAGACCCATTAGGCTTGAGTACAGGGAGAATGGGAGTATTGTAGGGTGAATGGGTAGGTTTAAGAAAACCATTGTCTAAAAGGTGCTCAATTATAGGTGTCAGTCCCTGTAAATATTTGTGAGCTATGGGATAATGGGGAACACAGGGAAAAATTGAAGGATTTTTGAGACGAATTAAAATAGGCATGGCATGGGTACCATGGGTGGGATTGGAGGTATCTCAAACTATGGGATCGACCAGAGAAGGAGGAGTCCGGAACCTGCATGGAATTGGCCCTGTCTGTAAAGGCCACGTAGGTTGGCCGTCAACATCCACTATAGAGACTGAGGACCTTATATAGTGGCCTGAAAACTCAGGAAGAACACTGTACATGGCCTCTATGTCCACCAAGTACAGAGAATGTCTTGCCTGAGACCTCCAGTGCGACTTGGGGCTCTGAGAAGGATATCTTAATGGAGGGCTGTGGGCCGCAAGAAAGAACTACATAGTAACCACCGCCATAACCATACAGGTTATGCCTGAAAGGGCAAGAAACTTTCAGAAAGTATATTCTGTTGTTGGGTAGAACACTAGACATCTATTAAGTTCATTTGTTCAAAGGTTGTGTTCAACTCTAATATTTCTTTGTTGATTTTTTTTTTTTTTTGAGGAGGGGAGGAAACAGGGTTTTACTGTGTAGTTCAAGCTGGCCTTGAACTCGCTTTTGTAGCCCAGGCAGGCCTCTTGCAGCTGTCTCAGCCTCCCCAAGTGCTGGGATTACAGATGTGCACCACCACAGCTGGCTTGTGTGCTTCATTTCTTGGGTTTTTTTGTTTAGGTGATCTATTTGTGATGGGGGGGGGTATTGAGGTCACCCAGTATAATTGTGTTTATGTATCTTGTAGTACTTGTTTTATGAAGTTAGTGTACTGTTGTGTGTCATACTTCTTATCTCTTCCCATTGGATGTTCTCTTAACCACTATGTAAGGACCTTCTTTGCCTCTTCTGATCAGTTTTGCCTTGGGGTCAAGGCAAAACTGCCTCCCCCCATACCTACCTACCTACCTACCTTTATTTCTTTCTTTCGTTCGTTCATTCGTTTGTTTCCATTGCATGGAGTATTGTTTTCAATCCTTCAGTTTTTTTAAAGTTTCTTTTTGGGTTAAATATGTTTCCTGGGTACAGTATATTGTTGGAATTTTGTTTCTTGATCATTGTGCCAGTCTACTTCTGACCAGGGAACTGAAACCATTCATACTAAGAGTTCTTACTGCTAAGCATTGTCTTATGGCTGTCGTTGCCCTATTTCCTGTTGCTGATTCCCTATCTTCTGTCTGCTTAACTGCTTGCCCTACCTGTTGTATTCACTCTATTAGACTTCATGATATTGTTCTACGTGGTGTATTCATACTGTTAGACTGTATGTCTTTGTTGGCATCATTGTCTCTAGGATATTCTTGAGAATTATTTGGAGTGCTAGTTTGATGGCCATGAGTTTCTTAGGGTATTTTTATTATGAAAGTATCTTATTACTCCATCAATTTTGAAAGATTTTGCAGGATGTCAGCCTGGGTTGGACTTTTTTTTTTTTAAGGATTTGAAATACTTCACTCTCTGGCCCTTAAGATTTGTGTTGAGAAGTCTGCTAAAATTTTAATGAGTTTTTCTTTATAAGTGACTCACTGCTTTCCTCTAACCACATTTAAGATTCCATTTTTGTGTTGAACTTTTGGGGTTTTGACTATGATGTGTTGTGGAAAAGATTTTTTTCTGACTGTGTCTATTTGGCCTTGATTTTAAAATAGAATTGCCTTAAGATTTTCTTCCTGTGAGGCTACTCCATTTTGATGGAACTGGAAGTCCATGCTTGTCTTTTAATCTGTCAACACTTGCTGGACTATTAATTAGTTCTAGTAGTTTTTCATTGGACTGGGCATATGTTCTGCAAAAATGAGTTTCATTCCTTCCTTTCTTGTATCTGTACCTTTTTATCTTATAACAAACAAATAAAATTGAGCATGGTTTTCCATTTTTCAATATTATTAATGACCAGGCCTGGTGATTCCAGAATTTGGGAAGCTGAGGCTGGAGAATCACTGTGATTTTGAAGTCATCTTGGGCTTCATAGTGAACCTGAGGCCAGCCTGAACTACAAATAGTGAGGCCCTGTCTCAAAAAACAAAAAATTAGAAAGCAAGAAAGAGGCCAGGAATCTCACTCAGTGACTTAAATGCCTGCCTGACAAGCATGAGGTCGTGAGTTCAATCTCTGGTCCAAAAAAATGTAGATTTAAAAAAAAGAAAGAGAGTATATCTTTTTTATACCAAATGAGAAATTTGCTTTGTTTTTCCTGCTTCTGAAGTTTTGTGATATAATCTGAAAGTCTTCAGTCTCTGTAATTTCCATTTTTTTATATGATCTCTTAAAGGAAACTTTATCTCCTACTCTTCTCACACTCCATGTACTGCAGCCAGAGTGACCGTTTACTTTTTCTTCAGCACAGCAAGCATGCCCTGTCTTAACCTTTGTGATTGTTTTTGGAGGTTTTTTTTGTTTTTCTGAGATACGGTCTCACTGTGTAGCCCAGGCTAGCCTCAAACTTAGGGAGATCTTGCCACAGCCTCCAGGTGCTGGGATCACAAGCGTGTGCTACCATGAAAATCTTTGTAATTGTTATCCCTCTGCCTGAAATGCTTCTGTACCCCACCCCAGATATTCTTGGGTTTATTCCCTCACCTTCTGAAAGTTCTCACTCAAATGTCTTAATTATATAACCCTTGACCACTTCTCAAAGTTGTAATCCATTGTGCCGTGTTTGCTTCCCTACTTGATCTTTTTTAGCACTTATTATCATCTGACATCTCTGTAACTGGTTTATTCTCTTTATTAGAATGAAGGCAAATTCTTTCCTTTCTTTTTTTTTAGTTCTTTTGGAGACTTTCTGGAGATTGTTTTAATTTTTGTTTGTTTGAACCAGGTATTACTCTTCACATGGTATAAAAAGGTTTGTGTTGTAAAGTATTTCTTTTGCTTTCATGGTCACGTACTACATTCCTCTGCTCAGGTGCAATGGTCTTCGTCAGTTTTTTGACTTTCCCTTTAGAACTATTCCCCTATGGCTTCCTAAAAAGTTGATAATCAAGTTATAATGTAGGACGAAGTATTTTACACTTTGATCTGTCCAGAACAGTTCCCATTTCCTTTTCTGTTTACTGCTTAACCTTGTCACAAGCCACTGTCAACTATTTTTAGTGAATATTTGCTATTATGGTAACTGCTGAGGAAGTGGTATAATAAAATACTATTTCCCCAAGGTCTTGAAGTTTGAAATCTAGGTTGAATGAGAAAGTATATATATTAGAAAGTAGCAATGCTTTTAAAAGATCCAAATGATATAAATGAAATGCTTTGTAATTGTTGGCATAGATAGCAAATACCATGAGCATTAGTTTATCAAAATAGAAAGTGAGTACATTTATCAGAGGAAACTTCATGTAAAGGGTACTTGTGTTGGCTTTGGCAAGTTAGAAAAAGAAGGAAAAGAATGTATCTTCTGTGTGTTCACCTACATGATACGAGGAATACATTTTTATGCCTTGGGATTTACAGTTACGAATAACAAAGGCCCTATCTGGTAGAGAAGAGAACATGATGTAATGTCAGTGAGAGGAGGTGCTATGAAGTAGCATCATATTAAGCAGAGATTAGCAGAAAAATCATAGGTTGTTGAAGAAATGAAGAAAAATGTTACAGGGCAAGTACAGGGGATGGCAAGCTATTCTTTCTTTCTTTTTTATTTATTTATTACTCACAACCTTGTGCTTAGCAGGCAGGTACCCTTGGCACCCTGCCCTTGGCAAGCCCCCAGGCCTTGGCAAGCTATTCTTCATAGGCTGTTTTTGTGAATAGTTGCAGATAGTTTGCTGATCCTTGTAAGTAGATAGGAGATAGGTAAGGAATCATTGATAACTATTAGAAATATTTAAATGACATATTTATTATATTGGGGAGTGATCAACAACAGAAATGTGGCTAAAGAGAAGTTAGCTTTGAAAGAATACAATGGCAAGACTGTTATAATATAGAGAGAGGGTGAAGGCTCATTTCCAGCCTGAATAATATTAGTTCAGTAAGTAAGGCACAGAGCCAGGTATGGTGGGGCATGCAAGTTATCCCACCACTGGGGAGGCAGGAGGCAGGAAGATCACCATGAGCTCAAGGCCAGCCCAGGCTACATAAGTGAGTTCAAGGCCATCCTGAACTACATACTGCCTCATGAACAAACAAAACAAAAGGCACAGAGGTGGCTTATCTTTACTCATGTTTTTCTTTCTTTCTTTCTTTTTTTGCTTAGCCAAGAAGGATCAGGAAGGTGGAGAAGAAAAAAAATCTGTACAAAAGAAAAAAGTAAAAGAATTAAAGGTGTTGGATTCAAAGACTGCCCAGAATCTCTGTGAGTAACTCTATAATCCCAACTATTTGAAATATGAAGGAATTCTCAGGAATTTAATTCTGTTGCCTCTAGCACTCTATTTGTTGAATTCTTGCTCTGTCCCAGGCATTGCATAGTGAATTTCCAGTTTTGTGTTTTATCCTTCGGTTGTACCACAGGGTTGGTAAGTAACCAGTTTTATGCCAAGGAAACGGGTTAAGACTTTTAGGTCTTTGTCTAGCCATAGAGCTAGTAGAGTTGTGAAAGAAGAAGCTCAGACTTTCTTTCGTTGCATCCACAGCAAAGTATTCTAGCCTCAGTTCATTTTTTCTATCTCATTTTTTGAAAATGAATGCAAGTGATATTTTGGCTTTACTTAAATCTAAAATTACTTTGTAGTTTAGAGTAAATGAGGTAAGTCTTACATTCTGAGTGGGATCAGTAATTCCAGAAGGTTCTGTTGTGAACTTGTCACCTATACTCAGAATTGTGATTGGCAGAAATTTTTCAGATCAGAAATTTCTCTGCACATTTGAAAAATTTATTGATGGTCTAGACGAATGTTAATTTTTGTGGTTGTTGTTCATTTGAACTGTTGATCCACTTATTTTATTTGGAGTAATATAAATTAAAACTTTTTTTTGGTATTGGGAATCGAATCCAGGACCTTGTGTTTGCCATGCAGGTGCTGTGCCACTGAGCTACATCCCTAGTCCCTTTCTTTTATTTTTTGAGGCAGGGTCTCACTATGTAGCTTGGGCTGGCCATCAACTCGCTTATGTACCTTAGGCTGGCCTTCAACTCACGCCAATCCTCCTGCTTCAGCCTTCCAAGTGCTGGGATTACAGGCATGTGCCACCATGCCCAGCATAAGTTTAAATAACTATTCAACAAATATTTGATGGTCTGCTATGTGTCAAGCTCTAATAGGCACACACTGCGCATGTGTTCCCAAGATGAAAGGGTACATATTCTGTAAAACTCACATAAAATCTTGGGATGTAGTTATTGTTCTTATTGTTCCAAATGAGAAACTAAAGTTCAAATGTTGTGATTTGGCCAAAAATACACTAATAAGTATACATACCTATAAGTGAAATCAGTGATATAAAGAAGGCAGTAAGGAACACTGTGATATAGTAATTATTATTTCTCGTGGAGTGATATTGATAGGGAAAAAAGAATTAAGAAAGAGAATTGAAATTAATTTTATAGTAAGATGGCCTGGAAGATGAAGCTGAGTCCACAACGATTCAGTACCTCATACGTGGTTAGGGTATGAAGCTGAGTCAGGCATGGTCCATGTCCTCTTGAACCATGGACATAAAGGCAGATAACAACAGCAGACAAGGGCTATGATCAGAGGCATGCTACAATGCTTATGAGAGTCCTAGAAAAGGGGACATCTAAACCAAGTGCGGAGTATTTTGGAGGGCGAAATCCATAGAGTATTCTCATGGAGATACTTCCTAAACTGACTAGAAAGCACTGTTACGGAGGAGTTAAATGAAGGATGAGGATGGCTTGGGATGGCTCCTCTTCAGGAGAGAGGTCAGCCCTCTGAAGGCTCAGAAGCATTGTGCATTTCAACAACTGCAAGTCATAGAAGGTTGAGTGAAGCTGTAAACAATATTAAAGGAATTTTAATCAGGAAAATAAGCATTCCAGCTCCATGTCTTCTTAGTGGTTTTCTCACTGGGTGCTTACTAAAGGAAGACTCAGCAGAGGCATCAGTTATGTTACTGCTTTTAAATTGGATGAGAGGTGATCAGGGCTAAAACTAATGTGCTGAGAATGAAAAGACACAGAGTAGTAGGAAGACAGAATTAGTGATTGGCTGAGGGATAAAGGAGGTGTTTACTAAGTCTAGATCACTCTATGGAAAGTAGTAGCATTTACTGAAATGGGCGAATGCCCCAAACCAGACTCTCCTTATTAGGGAGCTGTGGCGGTAAGTGAGGCGGCAGGGTGGAGTCTTTACATGCACTCAGTGGATGCCATGTCTTCATTAGCTTTGTGGGGAAAGAATAAATGGAAATTGTGAAAGTGAGAGAAAGTAAGACTGTTTTCAGAATGCTATGAAATAGAAAAGGTAAAGAGAGAGAGGAAAATTGAATGAAGAAAGTTTTGTGGATTTTTTTTGCTTTTTGTGGTACTGAGGATTGAACCCAGGACCTCTGCACTGAGCTGTATCCCCAGCCGTTTAATTTTGATACAGGGTCTTGCTAAGTCACTTAAGTTGCCCAGCTTGGTTCAACCTTTGAATCTCCCATGCCAGCCTGTCACACTGCTGAGATTATAGATATTTGCCACTGTGCTTGGAATCTTTTAAAATAGGAGACTTGATGTGTAAATGCTAAAGAAAAGGGGCATTGGGGCACTTCTTATGTTGAAACATGAGGAAGAAAGGATGAGTCCATGAAGATGCACGCACACCCCCCCACACACACACACACACGTGTGTATGAGTACACAGTGATAAGCTTACAGGAGTATCGACACACTTTCCTTCCAGGTGTTTCTCAAGTCGTCCTTTCTAGATCTTTTCTAGTCTATAGCTAAGAGCACCCAGTGCCCAGTTTTTAAATGGCAGAAGAGAATGCTGGCCATGTAATTTGATAATGTCTTTGGTTTTTCTCAGGGAAGGAGTAAAGTTTTCTTAAAACAAAGGAAGAGGTGGGACAGCTGGGAGATAGGTTGTATTTTGGAGGAGCTGCCAAGATAGGTGGGAGAGAATGGAATTAGGGAAACACAGAAAGGGATTGATACCAAAGCCACAGCTATCTTTGATGTTGGTGCAAATGCATAGACTCTAATCTGCATCAGCCCAGTGTAAGGGCAGAGAAATTAAATATTAAGTTAGCCAGAACTGGAAGGAACCGGCAGCAGAGGGATAGTAGTAGTGGCAGTAAGGGAGTAATAGTGGAGAGCGAGTGAAATGATTAGACCATATGGTCTGATCAGGACAGACAGCTGGCTGGAACTGGTGCGTAGAAAAGGGAACGGTCAGGAGACTAGAGAGCGCCGCTGAGAAGATCAAAGATCGAATAGTCAGAGATTAGAAAATAAGAGAACTTTCTTGAAGGGAAGGTAGGGGATGGGGGAAAAAAAGTCGTTAGGTCATGTACAGGTACAAATTTCCTGTGATGAATGTGATCATTATGTATACTTAAAATGTACCAATAAACAATTAATAAAAAAGGAAATGAAAACAGAGAACTTTGAGGATAAGGATATGTTTGTTAGGAAAGAGGTCATAGCAGTTGAAGATTGGAATAGGTTGGCCAGGCATGGTGGCATGTACCTGTATTCTCGCTGTTTGGGAGGCTGAGGTAGGTGGGTCACAAGTTCAGGACCAGTTGGGCAATTGAGCAAGACCATATCTCAAAAAAATGTGGGGTTGAGATGCAGTTCAGTGGTAGGGCCCTTGCCTACCGAACCTGAAAACTTGGATACAGTCTCCAGCACCACAGAAGAGAAGGAAAGGAAAAAAAAAGGAAGAAAGAAAAGAGAGGGAAGATCAAGGCAGTGGCAGCTTTTAAGGCGGAATCGTGGGAGTGGGGAACTAAAACAGAGTGAGGTTAAAGTCTATACATAGAGAAGATCAAAGACTTCCTCTGTGAGCAAAGGCAGAGTTGTGATGTTTGTGGGATGTGGTGCATGGAACAGTGTAGCTGGTGTGTGACATAAATGTGGAATTGAGGAAGCTTAAATGCTAGGTTTGGGTTTGGAGCTTGGGTTTTAACTGGATAGGCAGAGTGACTTTCAAGCACTTTCTTGGGAAGATTGTCTAGCATAGGCTTGTAGGATGGCTGGGCAATGGGGAAGAGACTGAGAAGAACGTGTCTTACCTCTTCTGGCAGCAATCTTTTTGGGTTCCTTCCGCATGCCCTATCAAGAAATTAAGAATGTCATCCTGGAGGTGAACGAAGCTGTTCTGACCGAGTCTATGATCCAGGTAAGGAGCAGGGTTGACCTGCAGGAGCCGGCTCCCCTTCATAGCTGTGCACTGGCCTCTGCTCCTCCCTCCTTAGATGAGGAGGACCCTCCCTTACCCTTGCTGACTTACAGTACTAGCTTCAGAGAAATTGCCATTTCTCTGGTGGTCAGGTGATTTTAGCGTATTGCTCAAAAGTCTTGCCGTCACATCGTCACATCGGCTGTTCCCCCCACCTGCCACTGCCCCACATTTCCTTTGAAGTAGTTGTTGGCAGACACAGTGTGGGACTGATAAGAAAGTAAAAATGCTTAGACTTGAGTTGAAAGAATGAACCCACAGATGCCCTTTCTTTGTTTCTTTCTTTTGTTTAGAACCTCATTAAACAAATGCCAGAACCAGAGCAGTTAAAAGTGCTCTCTGAACTGAAGGATGAGTACGATGATCTGGCGGAGTCCGAGCAGTTTGGTGTGGTGGTGAGTTTGGCTGTGGTGCTCTGCTCTTCTCTGGCCTCCTGGTTCCCTTTGCTCTAGAGACCAGCTTGCACACTTGCTCCTTACCACTTGTCTGTTTTGAATCTGTCCTTTTCTTTTTCTTTGCACATGTTTGCAGTGTAATAATTAGATTCGTTGCAGGGAGTCGGTATATGTACTGACACATTTAATTCTTTACATCTCATTCCTCCTCCATCTCTTAGTCCCCTTGCCATTTACAAAAGATGTATCTCCTTTTTCTTACTGTCTCTTTTATTTATATCTGGGTTTCTCATATAACAAACCATGCAATATTTAAGCTATGTCTGATTTATTTCACTTAGCATTATTGTCCCAAGGCGCATGCATTTTCCTACAGATGACTTAAGTTTATCCTTCTTTATAACAAAGTGGTAGTTCATTGTGTATAAATATGATGCTTTTTGTATGTTGATAGGCATTCCATTGACTCTATCTTTCTCTCATTCTTTCCCCTGCTCTGCAGCTCATCCTCCCAGAGGAGGCTGCAGCCTGTATGTTTTTCTGACTTCTTTCTCTTAGCTGTAATGGACCTGCTTGTCTTCCCAACTAGATGGGCACAGTACCCCGGCTGCGGCCTCGCCTCAATGCCATCCTCTTCAAGCTACAATTCAGTGAGCAAGTGGAGAATATCAAACCAGAGATCGTGTCTGTCACTGCTGCTTGTGAGGAGTTACGCAAAAGCGAGAGCTTCTCCAGCCTCCTAGAAATTACCCTTCTTGTTGGAAACTATATGAATGCTGGCTCCAGGAATGCTGGTGCTTTTGGCTTCAATATCAGCTTCCTCTGTAAGGTGAGGCATGGGGTTAGACCAGGACACCTGAAAGGAAGGTGTGCAGGCCTGTATGTGACCAATGTGGGCCTTGAGGCAATCTTGGGCGGGTCAGGACTGATGATTTTTCCTCTTGCCCCAAGCTTCGAGATACCAAGTCTACAGATCAGAAGATGACATTGTTACACTTCTTGGCTGAGTTATGTGAGAATGATTATCCTGATGTCCTCAAGTTTCCAGATGAACTTGCCCATGTGGAAAAAGCCAGTCGAGGTGAGGCAGGTCAGGGTGAAGAGTGAAGGTGACTCTGAGCCTCGAAACATTCAGAAATAAAAAAGACACAGTCTGTATTTTTCATTGTTGTTTTTGTTTTTTGAGACAGGGTCTTCCTATGTAGTTCATGTTGTCTTTGAACTTACTAGGCTGGCCTCAAACTTATGGCAGTCCTCCTGCCTCAGCCTCCCAAGTGTTATAGGCATGCACCACCAATAATCTAGATTTTTGAATGATTTTCAATTCAGACTGCAGTAAATAGGAAGGGTTTTGTAAGTGAGAGGGTTTAGTCATAGTTTATAAGCCATAGGGGAAAGAAGTAGGGCTAAAAGAAGATTTCTGTGTGTTGAAATGGAAGCAGTCTTTCTCTTCCTAGAGAAACACTGAAACACTGGAAAGGCAGGTGTTTTCAGTCCATGATTTTTGTGATTCAGAAAAGCACAGACCAAATTAACAAATATCACGTCTGGCTATCCTGGAGTTAGGCAAAGCATTCAGTAGAAATAGGACAGATTTCTAACGTGCCTCTGTAATTCTATGTGTCTCCTTCCTCTAAAATGATGTTCTGTAAAATAAATGAGACCAAGGCCCTAGGGGATTTTTTTAGATTAAACGTCTGTCCTCTGTTCTTAGTATTATGGAGACTGAAAGTTAAGTTACCAAATAGTTTTTCTAGTCTTGCTGCAACGATGAAACCTACGTGTAAAATGATTAGAGGTCGGTAATAAGAGAACTAGTTAAGAAGCAGAATATATATCCAAAATGAAGAGTGAAGCTGGGGGGTCTGATGCCAGAGTTGCTATTACGCTCTTGTGCTATTTTTGTGTTTCCTGTAGTTTCTGCTGAAAACTTGCAAAAGAACCTAGATCAGATGAAGAAACAGATTTCTGATGTAGAACGTGATGTTCAGAATTTTCCTGCAGCCACAGATGAAAAAGACAAGTTTGTTGAAAAAATGACTATATCCTTTCTGGAAAGAAGGGTGTTGCTTCTTAGGGAGGAAAAACTTACCCTAAGGGAACGACTAGGATAGATGTGGCAATGTCCAGCCTCTCTTTTCTCCCAACAGTGATTTTCCATTAAACACATAGTTCCTGAAAGCACTCTCGTTGTTGTGGAAGTGAAAGAAAGCCAGGCGTGCAGATACACTCAAAGCTTCCACTGTTTCCTTTCCCGTCCCCATTGCCACTGCACACACATTAATTATTCTCTCCAGCCTTTTGGGAAATTAACACTGCTACTGGACTTGTGTCTGATTTACCCCCGATGAATTTATTTTAAAGCCTATGTTGCTTTTTACTCAAAACGCCTTCGTCATGCTTCATCCTGTATGTGCTGAGCAGCCTCTTGCTGTTCCTGTTGTGTCAGTGTATCGTAGTTTGTTGCCCACCCTTTCCCTCTTTGGGTACTTAATTGCTTCTGTGTTTGCTGTAATGCATGATGCTGTATTGAAGGTCATTGTGCATGCTCATGCATCTTTGAGTCATTCTCTGGGCTAGGGAACTGGGTCTTCTTCCTTTACTCCTGGGCTGCACAGCTTTGTGAAGGACGCACAGGAACAGTATAATAAGCTGCGGATGATGCATTCAAACATGGAGACTCTCTATAAGGAGCTGGGCGAGTACTTCCTCTTTGATCCCAAGAAGTTGTCTGTGGAGGAATTCTTTATGGATCTGCACAACTTTCGGAATATGTTTTTGGTGAGCATAGGCAACCTGCTGTCTTTGCACAGGGGTCTTGTTTGTTGATGGTGAGTATACACGTGTTCTGCCTCCTCCCCCAGCAAGCAGTCAAGGAGAACCAGAAGCGACGGGAGACAGAAGAAAAGATGCGGCGAGCAAAACTAGCCAAAGAGAAGGCAGAGAAAGAGCGACTGGAGAAGCAGCAGAAGAGAGAGCAACTCATAGACATGAATGCAGGTCCGTGCAGAAAGACTGACAAGCTCAGATAGGAACAGCCATTAAAGTCTCTGACTAGAATCTAGAGGCCGAAAGAAAAGCTTAGGTCTGAGCTTAGCTCTTGGCAGATGATGTTTGGCAGCTTTTCACCTCCAAGATCCTGATGCTGGACTTTAACCCCAGTTCAGTTACATGCTTATTCCAATTTTCCATGTTGAGATCTTTTTCTGTCCTTTGGTAGTTCTTGCATGTCTCCCTCAGCAATTTTAGTATTGTTGTAATATGTATTCTTTCCTTCTGCCTGGCCAGAGCTTCCTCTGCCTGTTCTCATTCTCTCCACTAAATCTTTTGGGTTTTTCCCTTTTCCTGACTCTCCTCCCTTGGTGGCTTGCCTTCCTTTTCTGCTTGTTTCAGTGAGAACCGCATCTCTAGTGCCTTAGCATAGTTGCACACACCTATGAGATCATAACTGGATTGAACTTTGGAGGGGGCGGAAGGCTGGCCAACTTCTTTTCTTCAGCAGAATCTCTCCTTCACTACCAGAAGCATGTCTTTGTTGAAACATGTGGTCTCAATTACTCGGCCTCTGTTTCCTGTGTCTGCTTCTTTCCTGCTGCGGATTCTCTGCCCTCCCCACCCCCACTCACTGGCAGCAGAAATGCACCAATACAGCATATATTGCTCATGGTACAGAAATGAACTTGAGGGGCCATGAACCTTCTGCAAATGAAGGGGTCTTCAGAGCTGTTCAGTCTGGTAAGACTCAGAATGCAGAGCAGGACCATAACTAACAAGCCTCAAGGACTACTCCACTGCCTGTTGCTCCTGGGAACTGTTAATCATACTTTTCTGGAAAGTAGTCTCCTTGCCTTTATGTGAGTAACGAACTTTGTTCCAATAATGCTCTGAAGAACCATATTGAGTATCCTTACCTTCTTTCCCATTCTCCCTGGGCCAGTTTTTCACCTAGGAACTGGCTTTTAGGCAGTGAGGGAAGGTGAAGTCCAGTGGACAAAAATGGGATAAGAACTGTGCCCAGTCAACAGGTGGCGTAGTGGGCCTGGCCCTGTTCCGGTACCTGGGTCAAGCAAGTGAGGTTGGAATGTAGGTCAACTGCACTAGTGATGTTCAGACAGCAGGTGGCGCTGGGATCAATGAGCCCTGCCTTGGAGCTGGCAGCCAGCTGGCTCCTTGGGATTTCACAGTTTCAGATTTCGCTATCCTGAGCTGTTGCCATGGAAACTGAGCCAGGCTAGAACAAGGATTCTACTTAACTCTTTATATTCCAGCCAGGCTGCTGCTTTAAAATACAGAGCTGGCTTCAGGAAGATGCAGCCACTGGAGGTAGCATTTAAGTGAAATGCTTCTTTTGAAGTGATGATAGTAGTTGTCCTGGGGATTGAACCCAGGGCCTTTGCACTGAGCTACACTCCAAGCTACCATCCCTCCTTTCAATTTGAGACAGTCTCACAAAGTCTCTTGATTGCCCAGGCTTTGCTCCAACTTGCAGTCCTCCTGCTTCAGCCTCCCAGTGGGATTACAGATGTATCCCACTGGCCCCAGCTGGAGCACACTTACTTTTAATTAGTACATGTTTGTAATACATAATGCATAAATTTGTCCTGGGGAGTTGGTACATGTACATATAGCATCTTAATTCTTCTTGTCCTTCTCCTTTGCTGCTTTTCCTCTCTCTCTGTCTTGAAATGCTGTCCTTTTTTTTTAAATGCTGTCTTGAGCTGTGTTTTTTATCCCTTAGCCATGCTCTGGAACCTGCACCAGGCTCTGCATGAGTTTGCAGCTGCAGTACAACCCTTTAGGATAAAGAGGGAGTTGTATGGTTGCTTGTTAATTTTAGCATTGCCATCTTGATATTCACTCTGGTCTTGGAGTTGGGTAGTTGTGTAATTCTGTGTGCCTAATCCTGGTTAGTGCAGGGAGGGTGACACTGGAGGAACATAGCCCAGGGTTTGTACTGAATAGTAAGCAAAGAATCTTTTCTTCTGGCCAGTTTTAAACAGACACACCTAAACAGGGGCCTGTAAGATCTGAAGGGGAGCCTTCCTTGTCCTGATTTGTCAGCCCCTGTATGAGGGGGGAATCCAAACAGTGGCTTTGCATTTTGTGGAGCTTGGCCTTTGCTATGCTGTTCTGGTTAAACCATTTGCATATCTATCTTTGTTCCTGACAGAGGGTGATGAGACAGGGGTGATGGACAGTCTTCTGGAAGCTCTGCAGTCAGGGGCAGCGTTCCGACGGAAGAGAGGACCCCGTCAGGGTAAGTAACCAAATGGAGCCCAGCTAGGGTATTGGAGGGTGAGGCTCCTCTGCTGTGGTCCTCCTAGTGTTGAGCAGATAACAGTGCTCTGCAGGGTCAGAATCTTCCTGTATCCCCACATCAAGTGTGACTTAACTTGTTCCTCTAGCCACACTGGGAAGTACTGAAAAACCAGGGTTTGGGGGCTGGGGATTTAGCTCAGTGGCATAAGCACCTGCCTTGCGAGCAGGCAGTCGTGAGTTCGATCCCTGGTACCAATAAAAAGGAAAAAGGCCAAAAAAAACCCCAAAAAAAACCAAAAAAACCACCACACCACCACAAAAAACAAAAAAAAACAGGGTTTGAGGGAATAAAAGCAAATCAGTTATATTTGACTCTTCTTGCATTTCTCTCATTCTCAATCAGAAATTTGGAACAAGGGAACCATGTTGTAAGACACAGGGTTTGAGTGGGCATTTGTGAAAAAGAACTGACCTACAACACACAACTGTATTGTTAGATGTAGATTGAAAAATGAGTCCTTACTCTCAGCTTCACAAGCAGAAGACACAGCAAACATGAGGTGTCATTGTCTTCAGACATAAGAATGTCTTGAGAGCCCTTTCAAGGATTATATTGTATTGGAGCACTGCCTTTCCCTTGTGCACAGTGACACACACACACCCCCCCCCCACTTTCCTTGCCCTCTCGAGACTCCTTTTCCCAACTTGCAGATTTAAGTGGATTACACTGGGCCAGACCCTCTAAAAGGAATTGTGGAGAGAGAAGACAGACGAGCCCCACATTAGGATGGAGAAGGATTAATGAGTAACTTTCTCTTGAAGGAAGGAAGCATGCAGTGACCAAGAGGTAGTTCAAAAGACAGTGTGGCCAACATGGCCCTCATCAGGAGTTGACCTGTACCATGGTGTCTAGCCTCTAGTGAGGCTTTCCCAGGTTGAAGGATAAGACCGCGTTAAAAGATTTCTGCTTCTAAAAGAAGTTAAATCTGTGTTCCCTGTGTTGGCTGGTACACTTTGTAGGCCTGGTTGATAAGAGGTTTCCTTGGAAGTTACTTTAAAGAGATGAAGTTTGATGCCTGGCCTTCGTCATTGCTGAACTGTTAATATGCCAGTGTCTCTGAGGCCTGTGGTAACTGTTAAAGCCTGGGAAAGGAACCTAAGGTTCCAAGTGGAGGGCATACAAGCCCACATAAACTCAGGCTCCTGGCCCATACATCACAGATCACTGGAAGTTTCATCTGTAATGACTGGCTGGCTGCCTACTTCTACCCATACTGAATCCCTCTAGGGAGATTTCCCTTCTGGGGCTCTTCTATATAACCTTAAAACCTTCCCTTAACAGAAAGGTGTATAGTCAAACTTGTCCATTTTGTGGCATCCTTCAGTACAGCCTCTCTAGTCGGAAGAAGAGGTAGTGTGAAGAGTGTATTTCTCTGGGTTAGAGCATTTAGTCTTACTGATACAAGTGCTTGGGTAAGAGTATAGCTATTAGTGCTACTTTGTATTTGGACTCAGAGTTCTCACAGCATTGTTTTCTACTCGGTATATAAGATGATGTAACTCTACATTCAGTACGAAGCCTGACGAAAATACATTACATTATACTTACTGTCTTCTACAAACCCCTTGGTTAAGTGCCAGCCTTCCTCAGACTGATGGGGAATTCCCTTTTGAAGCCTCTTCCTGTGGAACTATGCTCGAATCCCAGATGCTTCCTGTACAGAGGCAGCCAGACAGCAGTGGCTTTCCTCTGCGTGGGAGGTCCCAGTCTCTACCTCTTTCCAGGTGGGAAAACAGGACTTACAGGCGGAGAAAGAAGGAAATTTGTCAGGATTCAATATTTTAGCAAAGACCCAATAATGAGAGTACTGTCTCCAAGTGCAGAGGGAATGCAGGGTTGCTGTTAGGAGATACTGAAATGAAAAGAAGATGAAAACAGGAATTGTGTAATTTTAAATAGCTTCACTTTATCTTTCTGGGTTCTGGATTTGCTAAGTACGCCTGACCATAAGGAGAATCTATCAGGGGAGACATTTTTAGTTACTTTGTGACTTTTTAGACTGTGGCTATGTCACATTATACAAACTTAAGCAGAAGGTCAGGCATCAAAGTAGTGAACAAAGCATGTTAAGACTAATGTGGGATCAAAAGGCACAGTCAGATCAGCAACCGTGTGGTGCCGTCATGTTACCTTAGACAAGTCACTTAAAGTTTCTGAGACTTAGTTTCTTTATATATAAAGTGAGAGTTCATCTAGAAGGGTTTCTTAGGGTCGTTAAATAGTGTTTTTACTTTGTGATTTACAGTGACAGTAAGATTACAAAGAGAAGAGAAAGACTGGAATTAGAAGGCTCCATTCTCAGAATACAGACTTCAGAGGCTTCAGGTTTCTGCTAGGCCTGCTGGACTCAGCTGTTCTGCCCCTTACTTGGCTATCTGTGGCTGCCCCTTCTGGCTGCTTACTAAGAGCCAAAAAACAGAAGTACTGTCAAGCAGATCTGCCCCATAATTCTCCTCATTCCCAACCAAAGCAGCTGGCCCTATTCAAAGACACTAGCCTTTTCCTTAGAATTTAAAGGAATGTTCAAATCTTCCGGTCTTCAGAGACATGAGGGAATAACCAGTATACAAAGACCCATTGAAGAGCTAGAAGAGGAGAGTTACTATCAGGGCTGGTTCATTAAAGGCAACACGTAAACTGCTGTGACCTGCTGAGTGTGGCAGAACAATGGTTTAAGTGTCGGGGAGAAGAATCCATGTGATTGTGTTACAGCTACTATTTCAGGCCCATGATTGAGTCAGCTTGTGGTTTTAATGACTCAACTTTATCTCCATAGCTGAATTATATAGCCTGTTTTACACACAGACCATTTGCTCACTGAGATACAGCCATGCTCCCCTTCCTCCCTTCATCTCTTCCTTTCATTTGCCTATTTATTTAGGTGTTTTGTTTTGGCTTTTTGAGACACAGTTCCGTTATGCAGTTCAGGCTGGCTTGAACTCACTTTGGAGTCCAGGCTTGCCTTGAACTCAGAGTGCTCTTGCCTCAGCACCTCGCAGGCTGGAATTACAGGCATATGCCTCTAAGCCCAGCTTCCCTGTATTTATTACTTTACAACTTCCCAGTGACCTCTACCTATACTATAAAACATTAGTATTGGGAAGACTCTTAAGATTCTTCATGATTAGTTTCTAGCCTGCTAATAGATGAATGGTATTAAGACCCAGGTAAGGTCTTGACCAGCTCTCCATAGCTGGCTAATGATACAGCCAGAATCATAGCCCATTTTTGTGAACCCACATCCAGGACTGTTTCCACTGATCCTGCATACTTCAATATGAGACAAGTGGTTCCTTGTAGGGGCTAGAAATATTGTGTCATGTGGTCTAGCAAGAACAGCCCTGGACATGGTGAAGTTTTTTTCAGGAAGATTTTCCAATGATCATCTGTCTTTTTTTTTTTTTTTTTTTAAGACAGGGTCTCACTGTGTAGTCCAGGCTGGCCTTGCACTCATGGCTGTCCTCCTGCCTCAGCCTCCCAAGTGCTGGGATTATAGATGTTCACTACAATGCCTGATCACCTTCTTGCAAGAGTGATATAAGTATTCCTGAACCACTGTTTCTCTTCTCTCTTTGTAAAAATAGGACAGAAGGTATAATTAGGAGAGCTTTGGATAATAATGAGTTATTTAGAATGGTAATGATTGCCCCATCTGTCCCAGTTTCATCTTCCCTAAGGAAGTTTATTAACAAGAGCATTTCCTCTTAGTAGTGGTTCCTAGCCTGTCTTTTGAAAGTTTTTTTCCCCAAATCATTAACCTTTTCCTATCTAAGTCAACTATACTTCTAGTGCTATGTGATTGGTTTTGCACATATTTTTATCCTAGGCTAATCACAACTTCTGAGAACCTGGCCTCAGACAGCGTTGAACAGTATCCTAAGATTGTTCCCTTCCTCCACAGTCACAGGACCACCTTAGGCCATCAGCCCGTAGATCCCCTCTAGTCAAAGATTGATCAGGTTCCGGGACTTACCTGCTAGTCTTATTAAGTACTCAAGTTCAGGAAAGAAGGGATGGTCAGTTTTTCTTGATTGTTAAAGCTGTGCACCATAATGATGGCAGTACAGATGATGGAAGCTGAGAAGCCTGGGTTTTGTTGGTTATGTTGCCAATTTCAACAAGAGCTTTCCCATCCACCTTTCAATACTTACAAGGGAAATCTCTGCCTACTGACCATCTGCTTCTGATTCCTATGAAATCCATAATATATCAGAAGCTTCTTGAGTCTAGGAAAATCCTAAAATCCTGCTGATTAGTACAAAGGTGTCCCCTTGGTTTACAGAAAGAAACCAAAGAAGGATGCAGCTTAAGACTTGCTACAATAGAACTCTGACTTCTGCGTTGCCAGGACAGTGTCCCCAGAGGCCCATGTTTTTTTCCCAGGGTCCAGAGCCAGAAGTTACATATTTCAACACGTACACTAGATGTACGTTAGTGTCACACACAAAGATGGTTGCAGTATTTTTCAACTGCTTCCTAATTTGAAGAAGTGACGAAGTGGCATTGATGGCCACAAATGTAGCTCAGCCATACAGCACTTGCTTAGCACATGTAAGGCCCTGGGTTCAATTCCCGGTCCATCAGAAAGAAAAAGAAGGGGCCAAAGATGTAGCTTAGTGGTGCAGCACCTGCCTGGCAACCACAAGGTCCTGAGTTCAATTCCTGCCCCCCCCCAAAAAAAAACCCAAAATCAAATCACAACCTTTCTGGGTATGACAAGGGGGGTCCTGGAGCAAGTACTTCAGAAGACAGTGAACATCAAGACGGCTGAGGGAAGGGTTTGCCATTGAGAAGAGACTTAAGGGAGGTGGGAGAAGGGCACACATGTAGAGCATGATAGTCGCAGTTGAGTGCATTCCTTCTCATCACCCGTCACCTCCTGAGGCGATAGTTTGTGTCCCTAACCCAGCGAGTTGCTTGGTGAAGTCCCCAGAGTGTAGGTCACACCCCTCTGATCCCAGTAAGCCCTACTGGGGCTACTGACCATCTGCTTCTGTGGGTGTCGGTCAGCATCTTTACTGTTCTTTCTCCTCTTGGTAGACAGCCCTGTGTGCCCCTGGGAGGAGGAGGAGGAGACCTATAAATTGGTAACCAGCAGGCATGCTGTGCCGTCCCCGTGTGACCTGCGGTAGCCACTGCACATGCAAACAGTGGCTCTGGGGCAGGACTGCAGGGAGACTGATGAGTCCCCGAGAAGACTTGGGCTCTTAGACTCTGTTTGGCTTCTTCTTGCCTAAAGCTTTTCGCTGGTCCAGAGGAGGCCCTCGTTGGCCTCTGTGGACTTGTGTCTGTAGCTGTCCTAGTCCTGTAGCTTTCACTTGAGGAGCATTAGACCCTTTCATCTCCTCTTGCTGCTTTGCAGCACAGGCATGATTTCTCCACTAAAGCTTTTCTGGGTCTTCAAGAAGGTTTAGGTTTGGGGTATATGTGCATGTGTAAATTAAAACACCATTTTAAAGTACAGTATACAATTTACTGATTTTAGTATACTTATACGATTGTGCAACTGTCAGTATTTTCTAATCCCAGAACATTTTTATCATCTCTAAAAGAAACTTTTTAAAAATTAGCAGTCCTTTTTTTTAAACTCATATAAAAAGTATATATTTATAAGGTGATGATATGTGTGCCCATATTGTATAATGTTCAAACCAAGGTAAACGTAGCTACTCAGACATTGAAATCCCTTTAAGATTGCAATCACTTCTTCCCTTCAGCCCCTGGCAACCAGTGTTCCACCATTTCTCTGGAGTTGCTGAGCTGGACATTTTATGGAGAGGGAATTATAACATACATTATCTTTTGTACGTGGCTTTTTTCACCCAGCAACTCTTGTACATATCCAGTGTCAGTGCCACTTCTCAAAGGGCCTGAAAGAGGGGGATGTTATGAGAGGGGCACAGTTACCCCCAAGGAGCTGTCTTCCTGTTGAGGAAACTGGGGCCAAAAGTTTGGATTTTGTGAGCAAATGTGGAAGTTTGGAGGACACATCCCCAGCTGAACAGAGCGCATGGATGAATGGTTCTCTTTGCATGCAGGATGACGGCTGCAACTGCACACTTCCTAGCCAGGGCTTTTTTATAGGGTCCTCCCTTGACCATCCTTAACCCCAGCTCTGCCTTCTCTGACATACACGGACACACTTTCAGGCCCTTTGAAGAGGTGAGAAAGAGTCAGGTGTGTGGGTATTAGTTGGAGGATCACATAGGAGTAAGTGTGCAAGTGATGCCAGTTTCTCTTACCCCAGCAACCGCCAAAGTGTAGTTACAAAATTGCACTGGAAAAAGCTGTCTTGTGGGCAGGCTGAAATGTGTCTTGGCCTAGGACAGTGATGAGGGACTTTGGAGAGCTTCGGTCCTACAAAGAGCGCGCTGCAGCCCGCACGCCTGACAGGTCACCCCCCGCCCCCAGCCTAGGAGTTTCTGAGGACTACCTCAGAAAACAAAAATTACACTATACACTAAGCTTTTGCCTTTTTAATTCCACCAACCCTATGATGAGAAAGGGGATTTTTGAATATCTCATTACACAACCATATTCAGATCTTTGTGCTGTTGTCACCAAGGAGTGAAGGCAAGGCGTGCTTTTTTTTTTTTCTTTCTTTCTTTTTTCTAAGTTATATAAGAGCAGAAGGGCGTGCTTTCCAGTTATACCACATCTTATATTCTTTGCCACCCAAACCTATGTCCTACATGCCTCTTCTTCAAAATAAGGGCCTTTGTGAAGCTGAAAAGGTAGCCATATTTGCATGGCTTTTGGCTTAGTGTCTGCTGTACACTTTTTGAAAGAGATTAAATTAAATGTTCCATGGACGGGATCTCATGTCTTCTCTTGCAGGCAATAGGAAAGTCGGGTGTCTTGCATCTATGCTACCTTCAGACCTGATCAAAGATGACGTCATAGCTGCTGTTCCTACCAAGATACCCAAGAACAATGAAGGAGTCCCCACAATCCTTGAGGAAGCCAAGGAGTTGGTTGGCCGTGCAAGCTAACCTGGATCCCGTGGCCATGGCAGCTCTTAAATGGAGTCCAGACTGTCTTGCCCTGCAGCATATGCTAACGGGTCAGGGATGTTCATCTGGAGCAGCCACTCCTGTCACCCTGACCCTGTCTTTCTGTCTGGCCTGCTGCTCTCTGAACATCACATACATCTTCAGCTGCCCAGAGACCAAAAGGGCAGTACGGGGGAGGCCTGAGCCCAACCCAGCCAGCCCTGACCATTGTGTTACCAAAGCAGGGTCTGTGTTTGCTGCCTTAACCCTGTCTCCTCTGTTACTCGGAGGGCCTTACTCAAACGAGGCCCATCCTGCTTTCCCAGCCCAGCTTTCTAGTGGGCCTTCCCTTGGTCAATCTTGCTGGCTCTGTGCTTTTCTTTTGTGGTTTCTCTGGCCCTGAGAACAGCATGGGGCTTATGAACTTCGGGCTAGAGCCTTCTTTCATTGCTGTCACCTCTGCTTTTTCCCCTGTTGGCCATTGTTATTTATTACTAATGCTGTGGCATTGGGAGCTGCTTCTAAGGAAGCAGGGAGCAAATCCCACCTTACCCACCTTCCTGGGAAGGGGCTCCCAAAACTAAAAGAATCTGGACCGTTCGACTTGTGCCCCAGTGGCCTGTGGGCAGGTGCCTAGGGCATAGTGACAGCGTGGACCATGTCCCCAGCTTGCTGCCATGCTTTGTGCCCCTGCCTCCCTGAAACCTTGGTACCAGCCGCAGGCTGCTGAGCCAGGGTCTTTCCTTATGCCTTTCCCAGAGCTTCGGTGCATCTCATCTGGAGTATGGGCTATAGCGTGACCATCCTACACCTCACCCTCTGTCTCCAAGGAAATGGGAGGTGGAGCCTCCTGGCTGAGAAATTGTTTTGCAAATGGATCTATTTTTGTACAAAAAAAAATTTTTTAAAGAAAAATAACTTCCTTTCCCCTTCCCTCTCCATAATCAAAGAGGCTTTGATGTAAGATTCAGAGTTCCTGGGGTTTCTCTTCATAGGCCTCAATGCTGCGCATGCCCTTGGACCTTGGCCTCAGCAGTCAAAGCCTCTGAACTCTGAGCCCAAGACAGATCCTCTGCAGCATGGGTCCTCGGCAAGAGGAGTCTCTTCTGGTTGGGCTGGGCCAAGCCTACAAGTAACAGGAGCTCTGAGGTCACAGGTTTTATGAATTTAATAAACTACCGCGCCAAATGTACAGATGCTAACTGGATATCCTAAAAGTAGGCCCAGAGGTGCTCACACACTGTACCACACTTCCTTCCACTGAACTGCTTGGTGGCCCTCCACCTCAGTAAGCTTGGGATCGCTGGCTTAGGGTGGCACCTTTACCCGCCATGTCCCTTAGAGCTTCCCACACCAGTTAAGGAGAGAATGACATTGTTAAAGATTGGCCCAGAGGTTCATTTGCTAAGAGCAAGGGGAAGCTTGGGAGGGCCTGGAGGGGGCTTGGGACCAGGAGAGAGGGTTCTGGTTGCTAGAGTTTGTCTCTTAAGGGGCACGGGCAGCGGTGTTGCTCTCTAGGGTCAGCTTCCTCTTGCTCGCAGACGTCTAGGGCTTTGACCCTTCCTTTTTTAATGTACTTTTGCTAAGATGCATTTAATTTAAAAAAACGGGGTTTGGGGACAAGATTCAGAGGTATTCCCTCACCTCTTGGGCTCCTGGGATGTTACCACCTCCAGTTTGACAGGTTTCCAACTGTTAATAAAAACACTGAATAGCACTGCTTTCCAGGCTCCTTTGTGAAGTTTTGCACTGTTTTCACTCTAGTGGAGCGAGCGTCCTCTACTCTTGTACATCACACCCCTGGTTGGCCCGATAAAGCTGTCAAAAAGCTAAAGGTGCCAGGCACTGCCCACAGGGCTAAATTAATCCTTGGTGGCTTCTGCCTGGCCAGAGCGCACCTCAAGGCTGTTGCCTTTCCGTAAAGAAGCAAGATGTCCAGTTGAGCCTCCGCCTCTCCCGCTGCTGCTTGGGGTCCTGTTCTCATTCTCACATCTCACTTCCCGCTTCCTCGTGCCTGAGGTGTGCTGTAGTCTGCCAGCACTATCTGTGCCTTTCTGTCTCATGGAAGTCTGACTCCCATTTTCCTATCCACACCGCTGGCTCGCCGCAGCCCACACAGGGAAGGTAGAGGAGCTTAGGCTGGGCTGGGCACCTCCGCAGCAGAGGTCAGAAGCCGAGGTCAGGCTCCAGACGACCTGCCTCACAGCCCTGCCTGCCTGGCCCCTCCTCTCCAAATTCGGATAAACGGGAATAACAAACCCCCTGAGCAGCCCCTGGAATTAAATGTAAAAACGTTTTAAACAGCCCAAGACCTGGGCAGCTGCCTCCCACGTGGCCGGAGGTGTGGGGGTGGGCTGCCTGCCACCTTCCGTCCTCTCCCCCAGAAGCCATGCGTTTCTGGCTTGCTTTATAGGTGCACGTACCAATTAGGGGACCAACCACAGCTGCTCACGCGCTTGTGCCTGGAATAGAACCCAGACGCCAGGCACCCCGCCCTCCGCAGCGGGCCTTTGAGAAACAAAACCCTGCTCCTGTCTCGACAACCGTGCACACCACCCTTCCTCCCACGCAAGAAGGTCTCTCCCAGATGCTTCACTGGAAGGGTTGGTTTCCATGACAGCAGGCTATAGGAGGTGGCAGGGTGGCTGACCGCCTCGGAGAACCAGAGGAGGAAGCCCAGAGACCGCCCCCTCGCCTCCCTGGTTGAGCTAGTACTTGCTGACCCTTCCGATAATCCCAGTGGGTCTGTTTCGGATCCTTCCGCCCTCGCCCCCCCCCCCTTTCCGGCGGCGGTTTGGGCTGCGGCGACTGCAAATTTGCTGTTGGGAAGCGGGTGGAGGGGGCGAGGAGATGGGAGAAATGGGAGTGAAAGAAGCCAAGAGAAAAAGGAGCGGGGACGTGCTGGACCTACGGGCCACCTTATGTATTGCACACTCTTCGGTCCCCGCAGCCCTCTCAAGAAAGCGAGGTGCCCTCCAGTTTATTAGGCTTTTGCTGAGAAGAGGTGAGGAAGAAGGCAAATTCCAAATGGAGAAACTGAGACCCAGGCTACCTACTCGGCTTCGGAGAATCACCTCCCGTTTCCCCGCCCACTTGCACGGAGATTTCAAAACCTCTAAGCAGCTTGAGTGGGTGGAGGCGGGAAGAGTACGCTCTCCCGGTGGCGAAGCCCCCACCTGGGCGCCTGGGGAAGACGAGATTCGCGGCGGAGGAGCGGGAGGCGGGGGCTGTCCCCGGCACCCGGCCAGGGCTGCCTGCCCGCCCCGCGCCGCCCCGCCCGCTCCGGGTCTCAGCTTCTGCCTGGAGACTGGCGCACAGGGTCCATCGTGGAAGGCAGCAAGCGCAGAAGTGCGCACCCTGTACGTGCACAGGGATACGCCACACTCAAACTCCCCCCCCCCCACAGAGCCGGAGGGCGGACCGCCCACCGGGATATACAGAGCCACCAGCACAGTTACAGCCCACCGCACACTTACAGAGGCGCAGCGCTGTTGCAAGCATGCACAGCCGTATTGCACAGTCATACAGACACGAACGGCAGCCAGCAACACACGCGTGCGCACGCACACTTCGACATGCAGATACTCAGTGACCAAACCAAGGCGCCAACCGCGGCTGCCGCCCAGTTCCACTCTTCCAGCATTCACTTCTCAGCGCGTTTCATTCACACGTACCAGGAGCTCCAGCTCTTAAACAGAAACGTTCAACCCGCTCAGAAGAAACCTTTTTATTATTTTTTTGAAGAAAAAAGCCATATAAATATTAGAGTATAAAACTTGCGTGAGATACAGGAAGGGGGTGGCGTGGGAGCTACGTGACTATGCGAAGAGAAGCGCTTATAGGAGTCAGTATCGGGGAGGGGGTCGCCGCAGGGCGTGGACACAGCACAAAACACAGCACAGGCCGCTGCGGGCAGACTCAAGGACAGACGGCTGCGCCAGCCCGCCCCGATGCCCGCTCGCCATCACGTGAAAGCACACCGCACTAACTATTGGCTACTCTAACCAGCCGGGGCGGGGGACTGAGCTCTACACTACCGAAGGGCCGGGGTGGGGTTCTCCTGCAACCCCACTGGAGAAACAGGACCGCAGGGACAGAAGGGATGGACAGAGGAAGGTCTATGCACAAGGAGGCACTGGGGGATTTTAACCAGGCTCTGGCCACTAGGGGGCGGATTGGGGGCCTGGGCAGTGGCCTTCGCAGAGAAGAAATGGCACCTGGCAAGGTGAAGGGCTGGGGCGTGAGTGCCAGGACCCAGTGGAGAAGCCGGGTCATGGGCTGAGACTTTCTGCCCATTGGTCTGGATCTAGCTCCTTGCCTCCCAACCCAAGGGCCAAGAATGGCCTAACCGGGCCTTCTTTCCTGTTGGGGCTCCTCCAGCCCTTCTACCTGTGGCACCTCTCTGGAGTACCCAGCACCCACAGAGACCAGCCCTTCTGACCTCTCTAGGGGACCTGCTTCTAAACCCCCGCTCAGCGCGTCCTTGCACTGAAATGCCAGTTTAAACCCATTGGTCCTGGTAGCTCAACCCAAAGCTGGCTGCCTGGGCTGAAGCCTATATGCATGTGTGTGGTGAAGGTCCAGCCTACTGTTTGGTTTGTGGCTGGAATTTGGAGATCTGGCCAGTACCCTAGGGACATACAGAAGCTCCTGCAAGACTCTGTTAACTAACTGATGGATCAAGCTTTGTCCATTGCTCCCCACCCACACACACATGCTAGCGCATACTTCTCTTCTGTATGTTACCACCCCCTACCGTCTCAGAACATGCAATGGAGTTTCTCATTTGAGGAGGGGAATAGAGAAGTCACAGCATGCAGTGGGAACATTAAACAATGAAAAACAAAATAAAAGACTGGTCCCCAGGGCCTGGGGAAGAGGCTTGGTAGCAAAATGCCCTCCCCAAATCCAGCAAGCAGTACCATGGAGATGGATGGTGACTTTTTCTCCCAAAACTTGAGCACTGGTCACAGGCTCTAAGGAGATGAAAGGATTGGCACCAAAGCATGCTTTGGGGGAAGACGGAGAACTGAGGGAGAGGCCAACGAGGTCATGATGCTCTTCCAACTCTTCAGAATGATGAGCCTTTTCAGGTCACCTGGTACCTCAACACCCCAACCACCTTACTGGAGAGGAACTTTGAAGGACTGGGGTGGGTGGGATGGATGGGCCTGATTGATTTGGAAGATGAAGGAGTTCAGCTGTAAATAAGGGGGCGTGGCAATGGTTCTTGGTGTTGTACTAACCCCACTACCCCATGGGTACAGCAATTGATTGGATGGGGGTTCCCTGCAGAACTCCCTTTGCATATTCAACCCCCTGGGGGGAGAGGGGGTGTTGACTCTGGGCACTTGTTTCTATTTCTCAAGGGGAGCATGGCCTTGGCCCCTACAGAATCCTGGGAGTGGGCCCTGGAATTCTGAGGCCTGGGTACAGGTAAGGAGAAGCTGGTTGGGGAGAGAGGCTGCTGCACTGTGGCTCTAGGCCTGGCCTCCACGTTACTTCTTTTCCTTCTTCCCAGACTTCTTCTTGTTTCCATTGCCACCTGCTGGGGTCTTGCCATCCCGCTTGCCAGCTGCATTGGTCAGTGTGGCATTGCTGCCAGGGATGTACACGTTCTGGCGATAGTCAGGCACATGCTGCAGGGTGAACTGGGGTCCATAGCGGGCACTCAGGCCCATGGTGCCAGCTCCCCCTCCCAGGGTGGAGCTCCCATCAGCAGCTTCTGCAAAAACAGAGAAAGAGCAGATCATCAGAGTGGGAGCCATGACTTTTCTACCATGAGCAGTTCATGAATGTGTGCAGAGCTCTATGGATCCTGAAGCACTGGGAATACAGTGGTCATCCAGAGAGTCTGTCCACAAGGGTAGAGGTTAAAAGGGAGAAAGCCTCGGTTTGATTCCTGGCTGTCTTTTTCTAATCTGCAAACCAGGAGTGACAGTACCTACCACCTCCGGTTCAAGTGAAAGTCAAACATGAACATGTATGTACTTTAAATAGTGCCTGGTGCATGGTAGGTGCCAAATACATGCCAGCTAGTACTTGTCAAATCCTTGCCCTTCTCAGTCCTTCAAAAGGAGCCTCTGGCTTCCACACTAGGCCATGGTTTCTGTATATGCCTTTCGTTCTCCAACCAGAGCCTAGCACAGGGCGCAGTTCAATAGTTCTGCTACTGGGGTGGGGCAGGGTGTTGGGTATTCATCCATTTCCTGGTACCATTTGACTGCCTACTCTGAGCTGAGCACTTTGCTAGAGGTTTTACATGCATGGACACTTTTAACCTGAGCACAACATGCAGTGAAGTATGTGGAATCTCTTCACTTTACAGGGGACAGAACCAAGGCTAAGGGAATGCAGATAGCACAGAATATGTTATCACAAGATGCAGGTCGGTGTGCCTAGGTGCCTGCTGGAGGGCAGTTACTCTCCTCTACCACCTACATTGGCTTGGACCTTATCCCTACTCTGAGGGCAAAGGAGGTGGGAGGGAATGGAGATTTGCCATGCTTTAGGTGTGAGAAGAGAATGTAGGACCCACTTCCCAGGATACAGGCAATGTCAATTCTGAAAAGTAGGGTCTTAGGAAAGTTAAACTTAACCCCAACCAGGTGATCCCATTTAGGGGAAATTGAAACTTAGAAAACAACAAGCCAGGCATGGTGGTATACACCTGCATTGCCAGCACTTGGGAGGCCAAGGCAGGAAAAATATTGCCAGTTCAAGGCCAGCATGGGCTACATAGTGAGTTCAAAGAGCCTAAGCTGTGTAGCAAGACCCTCTCCTTGGTTAGTATTTCAGGATTACACAGCTCCTCCAGCATTAGCCACCCTCTCTACCCTTTCCAGGGTCCAGGAAAATAAAAAAGAAAAAGAAAACAGAACTCAGTTTAACCTATCAGGTTACCCATTTTTGTTCCCTCCTGCCCAATCACTGGTATCCTTATCTCCTGAATCCAGACCCCCATGTGTGATTCCTCAATCCTGACCACTCTTGGCTGGTGATGACTCCTAGATTTATGAGCCAGGTGTGTGGTTGTTGGAAGCAGTAAACTTCCAATTTAAATTTCCTCCAAGCTGGCTATATTTTTGGTTTCACCACAGGTCTTCTTTGATCTAACACCAGGAGCTTGACATGATGATTCCAGGGATCAGACTTCACTGATGCAGTGCAGGCAGAGGCTCATTGTCCAACCTTGGTGAGATGAGAAAGCATCTCTAGCCCAACAAGCCACTGACCAGAAGAAACTGGGACTCGGATATGTACACGGTCTGGCCCCAGCTTAGCATCATGGGGAACTAGTTTAAAGTGCAGAGTCCCAGGCCAGGGATTTAGCTCAGTGGCTTAAGCGTTTGCCTGCTAAGCGAGAGATTGTTGAGTTTGATTCCTGGCACCAATAAATAAAGTGCAGAGTCTCACAATCTGCATCATAACAAGATCTCCAGGCAATTTAACTTGTATGTGCAACAAAGGCCGAGGCATGGAAGTACACATCAAGGGGCTTTTGGAAGGACTGAACCAGTCAGGGCTTCATGCCAGTTCAGGGACTTGACAAATGCTCAACAATTGCTGTTGTTGTCCTCATTGTCTAATGTGTCACCTTTTTTACTCTACACCATCCCTGTTTCGGTACAGCATGGGGCGGGGAACAGGCCCCAACTCCTAGTGGCAGAGAGGGAGTTAAAGCGTCAGGCATGTCCAGCCCAGCCCTCCCCAGTTAGCAGAAGAGCCTGCATCCCAGTCTCCCTCTGCCCCCGCCCTGGACCCTGGAAAGGGTAGAGAGGGTGACTAAAGCTGGAGAAGCTGCGTAATCCTGGGATGCTAACCAGGGATTGAGAAATAGAGAGGCAGGAAATATTTCAGTGCCCGGGTCGGAGGGGGAGGGCGTAAGAAGAGAACAAAAATGCGCCTCTAGCGCTTGGTTTTCCACAGCTTCTACTCAAATCCTAAATCCTCGCAGCTGTGGCCTTCTGGGGGCGGGGAAGAGAGCCCGGGAGGAGGGAACAGCTGCCCACCTCCTTCCAGCCTTCAATGGCTGCCCCTCCCCCAGCCTTTTCATTCGTCTTGACGTTTCCTTGTGTTCCCTAATTAACTCCAGGACGCAGCCTGGTCCTCGGCGCCTGCCCCACCCCTCCAGCCTTCTAGAGCCTGGGAATGGAAGGAGAAAGGCTCAGATCCGCTTTCAAAGAGCCCGAATTGCAGAGGTGATTTAGGGGCTATGGAGAGAGAGGAGAGAGAGAGAGAGAGAGAGAGAGAGAGAGAGAGAGAGAGAGAGAGAGAGAGAGAGAGACAGAGACAGAGACAGAGAGACAGAGACAGAAAGAGAGACAGAGACAGAGACAGAGAGAGACAGATATATATATATATATATATATATATATATATATATATATAGAGAGAGAGAGAGAGAGAGAGAGAGAGAGAGAGATGCATCAGAAGAGAATGAGGAAGGAATGCCTAGAAAGAAACTGGGAGAAGGGAAGCAGAATTTAAAGATAGAAGTCAAGCCCACCCACACCCTATGTGTACCCAAGATCACTGAGAAGCACCCAGAACGGATGAAAATGACAAAGCAAATTCCTGCTTGCCTTTTGGGGTTCCACAAAATTGGGGTAGGCAGAGAGGAAGAGAAGATGGGGACCTCAGCGTAACTGACAGTGTCTGACCCTGGAGCAATATCTGCCGGGCTCTGCCATTAAGCTTTGTGATCTGGCCCAGGTGCTGGGTCACTCAGGTCTTTTCCCTGTCTATAAATCTGAGAGGAAGAAGTCAGATCACCAGCTTTCACCTGATATAGAATCAGTTCTCCAATGGCCCCTCCCTCTACAATCTCCTGCCTCCAAGACCCACACTGGGCAAGGACCAGGATTTTCTCTAAGTCAAGTCTCTAAGACCATTTAGAGAAGCAGGAGGAACCATTTTCTGGCTGGAGGAGGTGGGGGTAATGCTGGTTTCACCTCCTGTGCCAGCCCCATGGCCACCCCCACAACCCCCAGATGAGCCCAAGGCCAAGTCAAAAACCTTTGGAGTGGCCAGGGAGGCCTGAGGAAGCTAGACTGAGCTGGTCAGCTGCAAACCACAGCTTCCTGGAGAGCACACCTCCTCCAAGTGTTTATTTAAAAAGCCTCCAAGGGTCCCTCTTAGCTGCCTTCAGCGGCCCACAAGACTGGCTGGGCTGAGCTCCAGGAACCTCTCTGGTTCTGGTGCTAGGAAGTGAGTGTGAAAGTGAGAGCAGGGCCTGACCCTGCCACCTCCACCCCAGAGTCCACTCCCTAAGGCCCCCTGTGGGCTGCAGGGGTGGCTGGAGGGCAGGGGGGGAGCCCCACAGGGGAGTGTGCAGCCTTGGCCCTGCTCCAGGGAGACCTTTGGGGAGGATTTTAGGCCATAAATATTGCTTCCGTGTCTGTTTTTAACATCTGGATTTAGGCTCAAAAACTTTTTTTTTGGCTTGGGGTTTAAGGCCACAACAGCTAAATAAACCTGTTTATTTCTCTCAAGGGCTGGACTTGGCTCTCCCCAGGCCCAGCTGCCTGCCTCGTTCATATTCAGTATCGGCCCTCTCTAGGACCACAGCCCCACCAGACCTGGGACAGCCCTGCCCCAGGAGGCTGGCAGCCCCCACCACCTGACATCTACCACAGCCTGGCCCCACAAAGCTACACAGACATCTCAGGAAGGGTTGCCAGATGATAGCAAATAAAAATGCAGGGTGTCCAGTTGTATGTGTATTTCAGGTAAACTACAAATTTTTAGTGTAATCGATCTCATGCAACATTTGAAATTTACTTAGGCTACAGGAACATTTGTTCATCTGAAATTCAAATTTAGCAGGGCATCTTGTATTTTATTTGGCTACCTAAATCTGAAAGAATTAGGAGCATTAGAAGTTCAGCTTCTAGCTCAAATTGGTCAAAAGGGAAAATGAGGCTGGATCAAAATGCAGACCTGTACTAGAAAGGGCACAAGCCTGGGAGTAAAGGTGGGTTAGAATCAGAGCTAAACTAGGGGTCCTGGGAAAAGTGACATCTCACAAGGTGTATCTAGGGTGAGCCCCGACATGATGACAGTGGCACCATGACTTCTCCTGGTTCCTTACCACCAGCCCTCCAGATGTGCTGGACAGCTGGGCTCAGTTCACTGTGTAAGGCCAATGCCTTACCCTCTGCAGGCTTGGCTCGAGGCCTCCAGAATTTAATGTTTATTAATAGGCATTGTTCTAATTCTGCCTTTTACCTGCATCAGTCAATAGATACAATGTTCAATCAATTATAGGCTCTACTCTCTGCCAGTCCTGTGCTGAAGGACTTACATTTGGTCCACACAACATCACAATGAAGTCTACTAATGTGTCCATTTCATACGTGAAACTGAGGCCCAGAGAAGCTTAATAACAGCTGAGTAGTAGCAGCAGGATTCGAATCCATACTGGCCTGCCTCCAAAGCCTGTGCTATGAAGTACTAACGTTATTATTTTGCTTCCCCTGTCCAGGACCAGTGTGACAACCTTCACTGAATCCCTAGTACACGTGAAGTTCTTTGTTAGCTTTGTGAGAAGACTAAAGCCCTGGTGCAGAGGTGTGGGCAGCAAAAAAGCAGTCTTCTCTCTCTTGGGACTACTCATGTCCGCTCCACTGATGGAGGACTTGCTTTGCCAGGCTCAGGACTCTGCGCTTTATGGAAGCTTCTCCTTCACAAAACCTCTCTGGGGTTGTCATCCCCAATTTCTTGACTGAGAAAACCAAGGTTTAGAAAAATTGAGCAGAATGATCCAAGTCACAAGGAAGGTAAGTGGCAGAGCTGGGACCTGACCAGTGCTGCCCCTTCCAGAGCTACATTTGCAACCACTACCCCACATCTCGAGATTATTCCTTGTTCACCCCTCTCTGGGCACTGTAGGACCCTCAGTTCCTCTGCTGTTCTTTAACTCAGCTCTACATCCTGGAATCATGGGTCCTCTTTCAGCAGCTGCAAAATCCAGAGAGACTGTGCCCTTTGACACCCGGTTTCCGGGTACAGCGGTTGAGGGAGACACCTGAGCCCCGCATCTCCAATCCCACCATGCAGTGGGCGCCACTTACCGCTGGCAGAGGCCAAGATCATGGCCTGCAGCATCTCTGTGTCGAACTGGTTGTTGGGCCAGGTGCCGGTTTCATCGCCGTTTTGGGAGCTGGGGAGACAGGGGGATGGTAAGCAGAGTCCCAGCTCAGTCTGGTTTATGCCTCTCCCTAGCTTCTTCCCAAGGTCCCCAAATCTAGTGGACCATGTGCACCTCATGCTGAAAACCTCCCTCTGAGCAAAGTGGTTGCGGGGTGGGGGACTGACTTATACAATCTTTGAGTCCCCCAAACCAGCTCTCTGCTCTCAGGTGCAACTGATAAGCTGCATTCCCACCCCTCCTGAGCAGATAGGATTTGCTGTCACAGAAAAGGACATTAGACTCTCTGGAGGCCAGTATGTGTCAGAACTAGGGAAAGGGGTGGGGACCAGAGAATGTAAGGGAAGACAGAGTCCCCAAGAAACCCTTCAGCATGGAGAAGGAAATAATAACTCAAATCGGATATAAGAACCTGCCTCTTCTATTTCATGAGATGCCCCATCCCTAGCTCCAATCTCAAGCCCTCTCTCATCAAAGCTTTCCCAAACCCCTTCCCTGGCCCTTTCCTTAACAGAAATCCTGGGAAGCTTCTGATTCTTAGAACATCAGCCCTGAAACCTGGACCTTAGTGATGTAAAATTTACCCGCGGGGATCTGTAAGCCCACACTGGCTGGGTCAGTGGTGCCATGTCACCCAGGGACTGCCCTGTCTGCTCCTCCACCCCAGTGACCTCTGTGAGGCAGGGATGATTGTGCCCATTTCCCACTGAGGCATCTGGTGTAAAAGCTGGAACATTGACCTGATTAGGATTCAGAAACTTTGTGTATTGAAAAAGCATAATTTTTAAAAATACTAAACTATAAGAGAGCCCTAAGGAATTCCAAGTAAATTTAGATTTTTTTCCTACCATGACAATTTCTATGCTGCTTCTTCCTTTTCTCCTTCTTTTTTTTTTTTTTTTATCTTTAAGGATCAAATCATTTCACATTGCAGGAGGGAAGCAGCCTGGCACACTTGTGCAGCCTGTCTATTAGGGCCCTGTTGGCACCATCTGGTTCAGAGAGTTCCTCACTATACAGCTGTCTGAGTGGATGGGAAGAGGCTGGAGGAAAGAGCAGAGTCCCTATGATGGAAGGGCTGCAGGGCAGGCCTGGAAGGCAAGAATGTCTGTGAGGGGTGTGTGTGTGTGTGTGTGTGTGTGTGTGTGTGTGTGTGTGGTGGTACGTGAACAGTGCCAAGAACTCCTTTACACTGTGCAAGGTCTGTCTCTGCTTATGGTTCCTCCACTCCCAAGTAGATGTTCGCAGTCTGAATCTCAGAACAAAGGACACAGCTTCTCTGTGTCAACTCCACAGTGTCACAGCAAACATAAAGTTAAGGTTGGAGGGGAAGGCAAGAAGGCCATTCCCGCCTCCCAGGAATGGGAAGAGAGGGTTGTAGGTGTGCGTGGGGCAGAAGTAGTCTGTCTTGATGGTGCATGGCATGAGGTGGATTTAAAAGATTAAGCAGTGGTGACAGGTGCAGAGGAGGCAAAGAGCGCGGCACTGTCGGACTGTGTAAGGAAAATCCGGTGGGTCTAGGCTTCTCCAGAGCAGACAGCAAATTTAAACCTGAGCAAATTGCCCAGGTGACTTTCAGGAGAATGGCAGCAGGAGAATGTGGATGGGAATCACTGAAAGTCACCACTTGGTAACAGTGACGTGAAAACAGATTCAATCTAGGGTCATCAATGAATATTAAATTACTAAAATTGGATGAAGTATCACTCCATAATGCAATGTACATCAACCACAAATACTTTAATGCATCCTTATATAAAGCTGGCAAAGATATAAATAAACAAATAAATAAATAAACCTGGCCACAGTGACGCGTACCTATAGTCCCAGCTATTTGGAAGACTGAGGCAGGAGGAGGTGTTAAGCCCAGGATTCAAGGCCAGCCTGGGCAACATAGGGAGACTTAGTCTCAAAACAATCAATCAAACAAAAAAATGCTGCACTGGGGCTGCAGCTCCATGGCAGAGTGCTCACCCAGCACATAGGAGGCCGTGGGTTCAATTCCCCAGTGCTGCAAAACTAAATAAGTAAACAAACAAAAACCCTTAGAATGGAGAATTTTTTTTAAATTGGGGAATTTTGAGACACTACTTTCACAAGTGAACAAAACTGTACATTGCTCATAATGTGACAAGCTGATGTGGGAAATACATGACATCACACAGTGATAATTCTTTTTTTTTGGTCGTTTTCTTTTTTATCGGTACTGGGGATCGAACCACATACTTACAAAGCAAGGCACCTATGCCGCTGAGCTAAATCCCCAGCCCCACACTGATTATTCTTAACAAGACTGTTCAACTAGACTCTAACCATGAGAGAACTAGCCAGCAAATCCTGTTTGTGGAACATTTTAAAGGACAACTGATCTAGACTATTTTAAAGTATCTATGTCATTAAGAGAGAGAGAGAGAGAGAGAGAGAGAGAGAGAGAGAGAGAGAGAGAATTCTAGATTAAAGGAGAAGTAGCCAGGTGTGGTTGATAAACACCTGTAATCCCGGCACTCAGGAGGCTGACATGGGAGGGTGTCTTTGAGTTTGAGGCTAGTTCGGCTACATGGTGAGTTCAAGGCCAGCCTAATCTACATAGTGAGAACCTATCTTAAAATCCAAAATAATAATAATAATAACAGAGAAGGAAGAGGCAAGGCAACAAAATGCAATTCATACTTATTGATTTGATCCTGGATTAAAAATAAAAGAAGTTGAAAGGTTTTCCTGGGAACACTTATATGATATGCTAGTGGACTATAAATTATTGCATTAATGTTATATTCTTCAAATGTGATCATTCTTGTGCGGTTACATAGATGTCCTAGGGGATTTACACTAAAGTGTCAAATGCTATGATGGCTGCAACTCACTTTCAAATGATCCAGGAAAAATAAAGTGTGTGTGTGTGTGTGTGTGTGTGTGTGTGTGTGTGTGTGTGTGTGCCTGAGAGCACAAAGATAAATGTGCAAACTTTTGGCAATTGATGATGCTAGGTAAAAAGGGTAAAGGGTGTTCAGATGTCCCTCATACAATTCTTTTAGCTTTTTGATAGGTTAGAGGAGGCCCAGTGTCATGGGAGAGACCTTTCCAGGCAGAGGGAGGACCTGTCCCAGCCTTGAGTCCCTGTGGAAGGAGTTCAGAGACTATGAGAGTGTGTGGCTGCCACAGGGCAGGTCAGGGAGGGGCAGCAGACTGGACACTACAGATTTTGCTATCATCCTCAGCACTCTGGAAAGCCACTGAGGTGTTTCCTGCTCCCGTGAGAGGACCCAGGCTGGGGGTTCCTCTAGGAGGGCAGGAGCCCAGAGCTGGGGCCGCAGCTACCTCTGTCTGTGAACATCTGGGAGTCCTCAGTTCCCGTCTGACCGAGCTCCCTGCCAGTGGGCTGAGGCCCAGGGTGGGTGTGATGGCATAGCATAGGGAGAGTGGTCGGTGGGGGTAGCAACGGGGAGAACTTTGGGCTATTGGGGGAGGTGACAGGGCGGGTGGCAGCACAGGTTAGGAGGATGCTGTTGGCGATGAGCACTGAGGGCTAAGGTGACCGAAAGGGTGGCCTGAAAATAGGATGGGCTGGGCTGAGGGAAAAGTTTGGGACAGGATGGGTAAGCTGCCAGCCCTCTGATGCTGGGCAAGAGGTGAGTAGAGAGTTCTATTTTGCTATTTACTGAGAGCTCCCTGTTCTCTGAGTACTGAGTCAACCAGATTATATATTTATCTCCTGTTTCATCCTCAGAACCACCCTGGAGTTGAGGGTTATGACTGTCCTTATTAGCCCTGGTTTCATCTGGGTTCAGAGACTCCAAACACACTCAGCTGGCAAGTGGCTGAGTGGAACCTTAAAGTAGGCCTCCTCTGGCTCCAAAGTCTGTGACCTTAGTCCAACACCAGGCTAGGCCTCAACAAGGAAGCGCTGGGGCCCCCGCAGCAGGTGCAGGGCCTCTTCCAGGGTCTGGGGAAGAGTGCAAAGCGAAGGCACCATTCAGCATTTTCTAGTGAACGCCTGCAGGAGGCCCTGGGATTTAAGAGATACGCTTCTTTCAGGAAAGAATTTATATTCTGGTAGTGTGTGTGAGAAAGAGAGAGAGAGAGACAGAGACAGAGATAGAGACAGAGAGACAGAGACAGACAGAGACAGAGATCTCATGGGCTGAGCTATAATAAAATATTCTCTCTGCATCATGCTCAAAAAAGTGAGAAATCTCAGAAAGTCACCTTGACAACAGTCTGGGTATAACTGTGTTAAATATAAATACACGTGTACCTTTTTTCCTTTTTTGATACAAGGTCTCGTTATGTAGCCCAGGCTGACCTTGAACTCATGGCAATCCTCCTGTCTCAGTCTCCCAATTGTTGGAATTACAGGTAAACACCACCATACAAGGCCAATATGTTTACCTTTTCAACATAGCAAAAGCTTATTAGCATCTAAAAATATACATATATGTCCACATGAGAGGCTATGATGTAATAAATAATTTTATTGATATGTGTAAATCCGACATATATATATTTTTTCTGGTATCAGAAATCGAACTCAGGACCTTGTGCTTGCCAACCAGGCACTGTGCCACTGAGCTATGGTCCTGGGCCTCCTGATACATTTCAAAGAGGAAAAAATAGGCTACAACATTGATAGGCAGGATGACCTCAATTACTATTTAAAAAATAAGAAACTAGTAAGAAATATACCAGCTGACTGTGAGTGCAAATCCTTGGTATTCCAAGTGTGAACAAGCATATGAACAATTTGGGTGAACTAGGTTTTAAAAAAGAAGATGTTTGTGTATTCTGTTTGGTTAAAAAATTGAATATACACATACAAAAATGTTAATGATTCAGTAAATAAGAAGAGAAATTTTTACATTAAAAGGGTTAGGGAAACTTAAGAGACATTCAACCAAATACTAATGTAAATATTAAGAAAGAATTCATCTAAAGCCAAGTGGAGGGGCATATGCCTATAATTCCAGCATCCTGGGGGCTTGAGATAGGAGATCACCATGAATTCAAGGCCAGCCTGGGCTACATAGTGAATTCAAGACCCGTTTATACTACATAGCAAAAAAGCAAAAAAAAAAAAAAAAAAAAAAAAAAAAAAAAAATCATAAGAATAGTAAAAGCACAAATTAAATTATATCTGAGATTTGCTTTAAAAAATCCAAGTTGGGAGGGGGGGCTGGCATAAGTATCTGCCTTGTAAGCAGGTGGTCGTGAGTTCGATCCCTGGTACTGATTAAAAAAAAAAATCCAAGTGGGGTATGAAGGAGGGTTATAATTGACACAAGATAGGATAACAGTTCTGCAGAGGTTCATCACACCATCTCTCTACTTTGTATAGATCTGAAGATTTTAATACTAAAAAGTTAGTAATGGTTCTTATGGGGTTATAGCATGATGGATTATTTTTCTTTCATTTTTTTCTGTGTCTCATATTTCTATAATAAGCATGTAACATTTTATAAACAGAAAATGTAAGCCGCTCTTCAGAGAAGAATGATCAGTTTGAGGGAGGGTGGGGACAGAGGCTGAGGAGGACTGCGGAGCTGGAGAACTGAAGTGCTCACTTGGAGCTACCAGAGGGAACAGGGGGACCAGAAGCCAAAGAGTCTGTAAGCTCCTAGCCTGGCTGGGGTAGGAACAGCTGCGGGACAGGGTGGGGCCCAGGTTACAGCCCAGAATGGGAGATGCTGCCCTGGGCTCTGAGCTGGGGCAACAGCTGTTGGTATCAGAAGCCGAAAGGAAGAACTGGGTTACAAGTCTGTACCCTGGAACTCTAGAGGCTGAGGCAGGAGAGCCACCCTGAGTGCAAGGCCAGCCTAGACTACCTAGCCACGAACACCCTACCTCAAAAAACAAGAGCAAAACAAAACAAAGCCTGAGAAGGAACAGTAAGGAGGAGGCAGAAGCTGGCAAGTACTTGAGAATGTGGGGCTTTTCTTCTCTTTTCTTTTTTTGTCTTTTTCCTTTTTATCAGTACCTGGGATCAAACTCACGGCTGCCTGCTTGCAAGGCAGGCGCTTATGCTGCTGAGCTAAATCCCCAGCCCCTTTTCTTCTTTTCTTCTATGTTTCTATCAGTGTGTCCTAGCTTTGGTTTGATCTAAATTCACTGAAAACCTCAACACTGGCCCTGCTGTAAATTTGGTATGACTGAATGGGATGTACAAAATGGGCTACAGTGCAGTGAGCAAGAAAGTGGGCCAGGGAAGCCATGGAGGGCTGGAACCAGGGTTAGGCTGGATGACAGAAATCTCCCTTCACTCCTATCTGCTCATTGAAATGGCAGCAAAGGGAAAACTCTGCCATTCTGCTAATTCTGAGAAGTCTCTTCCCAGGACCTTTGCATATGTTCCTCCCTCTACAGCATGCTCTTCCCTTGTCTTCAATCAGTTAATTCATATTCATCCTTTAGCTCTCAACAGGGCCTCATTTCCTCTGAGGTGTCCTCTTATTTTCTGGCTAGGTCAAATCCCTTTGTATGCCTTTACCTCCAAGTAAAAGCACTTATGATAATTGTAGCCCTACATTTCTTTTTTTGTGATTATTTGGTTAATATCTGTCTCTCTCAACACACTGCAGACTTTTTGAGAGCAGGGACTATGTCTGATCTCTCGCACACCTGGCCCACAGCCTGGGCTACAGAAGGTGCTCGGTGATGACTGAGTGAAGGAGGGAACTTGCAGGATGAACCCCTGACAGCAGAATCAGAAACATCCCTCTCATCTTTAGCAAGTTAACTAAGGGTGAGAGAGCATGGAGCCTTCTCTCTGTCTCCCCAAGAGCTTCCCCATAGATTCTGGGCTGCTGAGCCTCTCACTGTTGAGAAGGGATTTGAAGCAGAATAAGGTGCTTACCCTATGGGGTGCACGGGAAGCAATTTGTGGGGTTTGCAAGTCCAGGACTTGTGCTGGAGATTCCCCAGGGCTTCTCATAACTGCAGCTCAAATGTCCCTTCCCACTAGGCCTTCCCTGCCCACCCCGTTACACTCACACACGCTCTTGTCCTGCAACTTTGTAATTAGATATGTGTGTGCACATGGGTGATTTGTTGTCAATTTTCTCTCCTCTGCTGGCCTCAAAGGTATGAGTTCAGGGATCCTGTCTGCATGTTCAATTTTAAAACACGAGACCTTGCTCGCAGTAAATGTTTAACATTTGTTGACTGGATGAATCCATGAATGATTTAATGGTAACTATGGGGAGGCAGAGCCTGGGCAGCAGGAGAAGAGAAACAGCTGGGAAGGAGGGAGGGACAAGGGCAGCCTCAGTCTCTTGGTTTGCCACTGCTCAGAGGCCTCATAGGAAGTGCTTGGCATTCCTGCTGCCAGGACAGGACTGGGCCTGCCCAGGAGCTGGAATCTGCATCAAGGGCTCTAGTGCTGTCTTGGCAGGGAGGGATGGCTGGGGAGGGGGGAGAATGGCATCCAGAAGCTCAGCATCTTAGCATCTGGGCAGATCTGGGCAGGGGAGGCAGCCCAAGCCCCTGCCTCTACACCAGCTCATTGGCTGTCTCCTCCCAGCTCTGGAGTTCTACCAGGGAGGCCTAGCCCTGAGCCCACAGCTTTCCTCGACCCACTGAAGCTCTTTCCGCTGAAGTCCCCCACCCCGCAGGGGGTTCCTGTCTCCACAGGAATTCGTAGGGGACTGAAATGAGCAGCTGGGGCAGCTGGGATGGGAGGGGGAGCCGAGGGAGGGGAGCAGCCATCAAAGGCTTGGTGTGTGGGGGCAGGGAGCAAGGGCTGCCGGCTACAAGCACAGAGCGGGAGAGAGGGAGAGAGGCTCAGAGACGGGGATGGGTGGGGAGAGACAGATCAAGTACAGAAGGCAAGAGACTCAGAGAAGCAGAAAGACACAGAAGGCAACAGAGGCACAGGCACAGTAAGACTGAGAGCCCAGCGGAGAGCAGAAATCTTGTGGCAGAAGAACAGGAGACTGGGGAGAGAAAAACAGACCAGGAAATAAAGGGCGGAGAGACAGAAAAGAGGTCCAGGACCAGGACAGGGAAGCAGAACTGAGGCTGAGCCTAAGGAAGAGTCCCATTGATCCACTCCTTCCACAGCTGTGGAGCAGCCCTGAAATCGCCATCCAGGTGGAGCGCGAGGCAGGCGGCCATCAGGGCAAGTAAACACAAATGGCGGGGATGAGGCGCAGCAGAAAGACAGAACCTGAGAGACCAGAGAGGGAGAGGCGGAGATCACTGTAAAGGAGATAGAGACCGAGGGGAGCAGCAGGTGAGACACAGGTGGAGACACAGGCAGGCTGCAGGGCAGGAGCAGCGGGGCCAGGGCCAGCTGGAGGTAGCACCAGACAGGGAGCCTTGCCCTGGCCCTCCCCAGGACGGGTTCCTCCGTCAGCCTCTCCTCCAGCTGTGCTGTCTCTGCACTCCCACAGCTGCCTGTGGGAGTGTCCTGCTGTCTACCATTCCCTTTTTCCTCTCAAAGGTTCCCTGGGTGCTGACTGTGGACAGCTCCCTCCCTCCATCCCTCTTGGCCTCTGTCCCTCTGGCCCAGCCCCAGGTCAGGCTGGAGCCCAGCTCAATTTGGAGCAGGGGATGCTGGCAGCAGGTGGGTATACCCATCCTCCCCTCCATCCGGAGACAATCATAGAGCCCCCAGAAGGTAGGAAAACAGGCAGGTGGTGGGAGAAGGGGAGGAGGAAGACAAGTGTGTGTTTGGCTTCCGAAACAGGGCAGGCACCCCTTCCTTTGGGTTCTGAGCATCAGTCCTCCATACAACAAAAGGTTCCTGAAATCTCAAACTGAACAGAAGCAGCCCGTGCTGAGCCTCCTTTCATCTCTTCCCAGCCCTCTCCTCCCACATCATCGTCATCGCTGAGAAAATGCCGCAGAGAAGAGGGTGGGCTGGAGAAGCAGTCACCTACCCACTGGTGCCGGGTCTCTGGGCCTGAGAGAAACGCCAGTCCGTGTTGGGCGGGGCTTGCTGTGGAGAAAACAGAAGGACAGGGGCTGAGTACTGAGAGGGATCCAAATGTCACCTGAGTCCCTGGGGACAGCCTGGACAGAAGGAACGCAATGCACTCATCTCCAAAGAGAACAGGAAAACAAAACAAAAATACTGTGTGTCTCAGAGTCTCTGACATAGCGTAGCAGAGTCTAACAGAAAATAACGTTTTATCTGTCACAGGGAGCAAGTCTAGATTCTGTTGCTAAAGAAATGACCTCTTCTCCGTTCCCAGACTCCGAGCTTCAGAGCCAGGGACTGAACAGACCCTTTGTGCACTGGAAGGAGGAGCACACAGAAGGCCTCCAAGAGAGCCAGAGGAGGCATTTCCAGGAGAATCCCACCAGTCCTCCATGAAATTATTCAGACCCTCAGTGGGTAACAAAGCATCCTTTGCAGCAAGATGGCTGCTGCTCTGGGTAACCCTTTTCATGCCAAGTTGTGCTGTGACATATTCAGAGGGACATCTCCTCCAGCCCTTGGCTCTCCAGGCTTTCTTCCCACAGCTAAACACATTATTAATTTAGGAGTCATGCCAGCCTGGGCCTTTGCAGGGCATCCAAGCCCCGGGAAGCTTCTCACCCCCAGAACTCCATGCCAGAGAGCGGCCTGTGACTGAGGAGGAGAGAACAAGGCTGCTCTGTCTGGGACAGAGAAATGGCTGGGATAGAGCCCAGAGGATCAAGGGCCCTCAGTCTCCAAGCAGAGCCAACTAAGTCTCCAGGGCTCCAAAGGGGCTGATCTGTTGTCACCCGCAACCAGACTGAAGGTGTGCGGGCTCTGCCAGCTATTTAGTGGCCAAGTCAGTCCCAGGCCTTCTAGGGTGAGAGCTGTCACACTGTCTCAAGGAGCGCTCCACCAGCCATGTCTGCACTGTTTCTGGGTGTGCTGCTAATTGATTCTCAAGTTTGCTCCTGGGAGCAGAGTACGCAAACACATCAGATTACACTGGGGAGAAGGAAGCCCAGGACTGCCAGCAACTCACACACAGACCCACAGGTGACGGATGTGTGCGGAATCCAGAGATCTAACATCCTAAGTGAAAATGGAGCCACGAGCACCATTTGGGGACAGCCATAAAGAAGAGCAGAGGAGCAACCAGGCTGTGGCCACTGTATTCTTTTTTTTTTGTCCTTTTCGTTTTTATCAGGGCCACTGTATTCTTAAACACAGCGGAACCTTCATGGAGGTACAGGGATCATCATGGGAGGAGAGGGCCCATGGTGGGCTGAACACAAGGCACCTGATGACAGGTTGCCAAAGATGAGAAGCCCCAAAGAATAGCCTCCGCAGGAAAGGTCCTAAGAGGGACAGAACTGCACCCTTACCTCTTCCCAGCAGATGCCAACTGTCTCCTGTCCAGCTTTACAAGATCCAAGTGCCAAGCCATTCAAAGCACTCGGAAGTTAGGTTTGGGTTAGTTTAACATTTACTCTGAACTTGAGTAAGTCACTTGACCTCCATGAATTTCAGTTATAAGATGGGGGTTAAGGATCCTCCAGCGATGGTAGTGGGAAGATCAAATAAGATGCTGTGGTTTTCCAGGACAGTATGTGGAGTAATATCTCTCGGTGTTGTTTCAAACTAATCCTGAGTCAGTGAGGGCAGGGTGGGGCACAGATACATTTGCATAAAAGCCCCCAGGGTTGTAGGAACTTGTGCCTTTATTATTGCCCTGACACCTGGCAGAGGCTATGACTTTCCATCTGCCTCAGCAGGAAGGACTTGCCAGCAGTCTCGGATACCTTTTTGTTTTATTTTTAAATGCTGAGGATTGAACCCAGAGTCTCCACATTGAGCTGGTCCCCAGTCCTTCTTGATATTTTTAGTTTGAGACAGAATCTAAGTTACCCAGGTTGGACTCAAACTGGTGATTCTCCTGCCTTGGCCCCCCAGAGTGTCCATACTCTGTATGGTCTCAAATACTTTGGTTACTCCCAAAGCCTGACCCTAGGTCACTGAGCACACTGTGGTCATGACATGCCAAAAGCCTATTTATGTGCATGTAGAATGTGTAACACCCACTTCCTGTGAGAAAGAATTCACTTTCTACAGAGGTCAGGCCTCTGGCTTCAGCACCCTCACTTCCCCGCCCCACCCTGAGCCAAACCAGCTCTGCCTGCCTGTCTGCTCAGCCAAGGCTTCTCGCCTGTTAGAACCCTGCCCTCAGTACTGAGCCCCAGGCCCAGCAGCATCACTGGTCTGAGGGTCACACAATTCTTCTCTCCCTGCACCAAGAAGACCCGGAATCACATTTGTAGTTCAGGAGTCCACACAAGGCTCAGGTCAGCTCAGAGGTGACAGTCTCCACCCTGGGTGCCAGCAGGAGGGTGGGAGGCTTCTGTGCCCACACCAGACCCTGGGCTACTGGGACCTTCAACCCTCACCTGGGCATCACAGTCAACCACCCATGAATGCCTCTGCCATAGGGAGCTGTGAGTGGGTGGGGACAGTCCTGTGACCCTGGCAGTGCCCCAGTGCGCCTGTGTGTTGGCGCAGCTGAGATGAAGGAGCAGGTGCACAGTTTGGGATCCTGGTGTGGCTTGCAGGGAGTGTGCTCCATCAGCCCTGTGCTCAGGTGGGAGCTGTTGAGAGGCAGCTGGGAGTAGTGGGGATAGGGAAGGTTCTGGGAGACTCAGAACTCACAGAGGAACTGAGGAGAAACTAAACCTAAGGACTGGCAGAGAATGCAGAAGCAGGTGCCTTCGAAGCCTCCACCCTGGACCTCATTGAAATCGCTAAAAGTTCACCGGAAGCTCAGGGATCCCCTTTTCTTTTCTGAGCGCCAGGGCGGGAGCAAGGGTCCCATTATACTCTTTGCCCTTTATTACCACCAACTCCCACTGCCAAAGTCCCTAGCTTGCCCTGACCGCTCCTCTGCCTGGACCACTCCGCTGATTCCGCTCCATCAGTCCAAATGCTCCGGTGCATCCGTGGAGCGCAGCCAGCACCCTGAGAAGACAGATGTGAGATCCAGGTCCCTGGGCTGCACCAGTGGCTTCTCCAACACCGCCCCTAGGGGACGCCCTGGCTGGTGCCCAGCCCTCACCTGGTTCCGCTCCCGCAGCGTGTTCGCGCGGGAACGGAAGACCTCTGGCTCCAGCGCCAGAGTCGAGGGCTGCTGCGCGCTGAGCGGCCTGAGGAAGGTGAAGTCACTGCCGTCCGAGGCTGGGGAAAAGCACGTCCTGTAGCAACGGCTCTGGGAGTCCGTGGGCCGCAGCGTCACCTCCATGTACCTGAGCGTGCCATCAGAGCTCACCTGCAGGTTAGGGCTGGACTGCTTATAGAATTCCCGGGAGGGGGAGCTCTGGCGCCTGCAGCACTGCCCCCCATCCCCATCCCCGTCTGCTTGCCCCCGAAGGCACTTAGCTGACAGAAAGGTGAAGGTGACTAAAGACAGGAGACTGACGGTTGCTAGAGCCACAATGAGGTAAAGGGTAAGGTCTGACCGCTCAGGAGGGTTTGTGAGGAAGTCGCTGGATTTGGGCATTTCTTCAGGGTCCTCATTCTCCAGAACCAGCAGCACTGTGGCTGTGGATGACAGTGATGGGTCACCATTGTCCCTCACCAGGACCACCACCTGCTGAGTGTCAGAGTCATCCTCCAGTAAGGCCCGGGCTGTGCGCACCTCACCAGTGTGGGCAGACACAAGGAACAGTTCTGGGGCTGTGGACTGTGGCAACAGTGAGTAAGAAAGCCATGCATTGTGGCCTGCATCAGCATCCACAGCTGTCACCTTGGTGACCAGGGAGCCAGGAGGAGCAGAGCGAGGGAGACGCTGGGGTGTTGAAAACTCCCTGCCTGGCCGTGGGTGCAGCACAGCTGGGGCGTTATCATTCTGGTCAAGGACAAATACATGTAGAGATGTGTTAGCATGTAGTGGGGGAGAGCCAGAGTCTCGGACACCAACCACAATCTGCAGCATCTGCAGCAATTCATAGTCGAAGGTACGCTGGGCGAACACCCTTCCATCCTCAGGGTTGACATACACAAAGGAGGAGGCCGGGGCCCCCTGAATCTGACTGCCCACAATGGAGTAGGTGAGGCGGGCATTGTCCCCAGCATCTGGATCTGAGGCAGCCACAGTGCAGAGAAGGGAGCCTGGAGGCCGGTTTTCTGGAATGTAAGCAGTGTAGAGCTGCTGGGTGAAAAGGGGAGCGTTGTCATTAACATCTGAAATGTTGACCCTGATGGTAAGACGCGTGTGCAGGGGAGGTGAGCCGGCATCGCTGGCCAGCAGCTCGAGGACATAGTGGGGCATAGCCTCTCGGTCCAAGGGCCGGCTGGTTAGCAGAGAGTAGTGGTTCTCAGAAGGCTTAATTTGAAATGGCAGTTCAGGCAAGATAACCAGGCTCACTTGACCATTTCTGCCTGAGTCTCGGTCCCGCACATTAATCAACCCCACTACTGTGCCCACTGGTATATTCTCTGGAACAGGGTTGACTAAGGAGGCCAGCAGCACCTCAGGAGCATTGTCATTGGCATCTCCTATGTCCACCTGAATCACACAGTGGCCTTCCATGGCTGGCTGTCCTTGATCTCTGGCTTTTGCATGAATTTCATAGAAATCTGATTCCTCAAAGTCTACGGGACCCAACACATGGATTGCTCCACTGCTGGGGTCCAGGCCAAAGAGATTCCGCACTGCCTCAGATGTATGGTCTCCAAAAGAATAGTCCAGTTGGCCATTGGTGCCTTCATCTGGATCTGTGGCATTGAGGCGGAGCAGCAGTGTGCCTATGGGTGCGTTCTCTGGGAGTCCCACACGTAGAGCTGAGGACTGGAAGGTTGGAGCGTTGTCATTGATGTCCAGCACAATGATGGAGATAAGGCTGGTCCCTGAGCGGGCTGGGGTGCCCCCATCCATGGCCGTAAGCACCAGCTGATGTTTCGCCTGAGTTTCACGATCCAGCTGCTGCTCTAGCACCAGCTCTGGGAACAGCTTCCCATCTTTTAGGGTCTTCACATTCAGAGAAAAG